TATATATATATATGTGTGTGTGTGTGTGTGTGTGTGTGTGTGTGTATATATATATATATATATATATATATATATATATATATATATATATAATTAATTCTACTGGGATTCTACTCCTAGTTTGCCTCTGCCTCTTTGTGACACCATCAGCCTGCAAATGTCTACTGAAGTTAATCAGTAGCTTGATGAGGATTTTTTTTTCTTTTAACTGATGGGCAAGAAGTTAAATGTTTGTTCAGTTACTTCAGATGTTCTCAGTGCTTTATATTCCTTCTGAGGAGAAGCTCACTAGGCAGGCAATTTAAGGCAATTGATAGCTGATAGATTAGTGGATTATTGTTGGCATCTGGAAAATGGAATCCTCAAAATCAGCTGCTATGGAATGGCAGACATTTATAAAGTTATGAAATATTAAAATAAATATTAAAATATGTAAAATTACTTGTATAGTATCACTACAAAAGCAAATTAGTTAGCAAAAATACTCCAGTGTTTATTACATACACAATGGATCAAATCCTGATGTTTAATATAGTGGTATGTCTTTAACGTGGACAGGATTTCAGATGGCCAAGCAAATAGAAACAAAAGACAGGCACTACTTGGAAGTCTTGCTCAGCCCAGGTATCCAGTGAAGAAGATTTCTGTGGTGAGTGAATACTGTCTTAATATTCATTGATATTTTTAATAAGGAGAATCCTGGGTACAATTCCAAGTTCTGAAGGGAAATGTTCTTCAGTGTTTAGACTTTCCACCTCTGTCCCATCTGCCCGTCTCTCTCTCTCTCCCCCCACGCCGTCCCACATCCCAAGGATGATCCCCTCCAGACTTTGTAAGTCCTCAGAGCTCCCAAGAAGTTCTTTATGCCTTTAGTCTTATTCTATATCTGCATCCCCAGTCTTTCCCCTGCCTTCCCCAGCCCTGGGTACCCTCCCCGACCACTTTTGTCTAATTTTGAGGTCTCCTCTGCCACCCTTCCCAATGTCCAGTTCCAGTCCAAGGAGTTCTCCTCTATGTTGGCTCCTGTCTCCTTTCCTCCTCTCCAGCTCTGGTTTCAATCTACCTCTCTCTATGCTGCTTGCCTCTGTATTCCTGTCAAGCTTCTTCCTGCTGCTCCACCTGTCCTGGATACTAGCATTGTGGGCACTGAAAGCCCAGGAGAGAGAGTTTCAGTGCTCTCGCTTATGGTGCTCAGTGCCACAGTGGCCTTTGGCAACTGTCAGAAGCAATTGCAGGAAAAGTTCTGCTCTGCCCTTGAGCCCTGGGATGGAACATGCTCAGTCAGGACCTGCAAACTCTACAGGTTTTCTTTGTGGACTATGGGTTTTCAGATCCTGTATAGGTCTATGGAGAAAAGCCCGACCTAGTCTGTGGGGAATAGTCCTCTGATTCCTGTCCTTTTCCATTTTGGAGACAGTGGTGTTGGCATTAAGTTAGTGGATGTTCAGAATCTATGCTGGACTTGCACATTGCCAGATTTAGTTGATCGGGCTTGAAGAGCCCCTCTGCTACCCGTGTTTCCAGACTCTGCCTGTGCCAGATGGGCATGATTTTTCCTTTCTTTTTACTAGAGAAACCTGTACTTACAGGCAATCTAACTAAAAATAAAAAGAGCTACAGAAGAAAGGAAACAGCAAATGAGGGAAGACTTGAGGACACAGTGTGTGATCCAAGCTTGTTGTTCTTTGCAGTTAAGAAAGAATGGGGAGCAAGTGGAGCTGTTCCCTTGTCAAACTCTCTGTGAGGGAAGAGGAGGGTCAAATGACCCCAGTGGACACTGTAGTCTAGAGGATTCCACAGCTCAGTACCTTGTGGCACCACTCTCACAACTAGGAATATGTAGAGACTACTGGAAGAATTTATTCTTTTGGAAAACATTTTAGAGAGAGGATATATGTGAGATTTTCCTCTCTCCTCTTGGGAACGTATTGCATCCATAGACAGGGATCTTACACTTTACATTGGGCTGAACAGTATAAAGCAAGCAATTTGACTGTGGACAAGAATCCTGATTTGGCTTGTGTAACTGACCTGGCAGGATACAGGCCCTTTGTTCATACAGTCCATTAAATCCTTAATAGTCTAGGATTTTAGATATTTAAAGGTGCATCTTAGGTTTTTGTTTCCATAAGCAAAGACCAGTAGCATTTTCCAGACCAGCAGATTAGAGGCCTGCTCCCATTAACACTGCATGTGAATGTATAACAGGATGTATCTACAGGCATGGCACTATAGAAGAGGCTGGATAACAAGGCCCCATCCATGGAAGGGAATGGTTGAATGAGCCTGCCAGGATCTAAAGCAAGTTACCTAATTCTCTTGAGAAAGGAGAGTAGTTTTTTGCCTCTGGTAGATTATGGTGGTTTTTAACTATTACTTTCTTTTAAATAATCTTTAGGTTTCAATGAAATCCTTTAGTCAATGGCCATGTGTTCTAGTGATATCTACTAACGAACAACCAACCTCTTTTCGGTTGCTTTCTGCTAGACACTGAGTGTGATTTCAGAAGCTTATTTATTCTTGCAAATAATTAGAAAATTGGACTAATATCTTCCTCCCTTCCCTCCCAAAAGCTGGCCTAGTCCTGCTGCCGTATGGCCCACTGATTTTTTTATGATCACATAGGATCAAATTCTGCAGTCCTCACTCAATCAACATTAAACATTTAAACATTCAATTAAATCAATTAAACATTTCAAATTTATTTAATTGAATGTTTAAATGTTTAATATTGATTGAGTGAGGACTGCAGAATTTGATCCTATGTTTTGCTCCAAAACACCAGGAGTTTTGCCTGAATAAGAACTGTGGGATTCAGCTCTTCATTAGAAATCTGACTTTTAACAGCTCAACTGGGAATCCAGAGCTCCTTTGTCATCTCCCCCGGCTCCGCCCACTTCTCCCTAGAAGAGAGGCAGGTTGCTTTATGGAGGTATAAAACATTTGTTCTTGAATACAGTCTCATAATTGTCTTTGCAGACTTTAAATATGCAGCCCTTTTTGTCTTACTAAGTCCACCCACTTAAGTCTATAACACTCATCCCCTGAAACTTGGCAATAAGTATTTAACAGATGGAGAATTGCCTGCTTTTGCATGCATACAAGCTCATGGTAAAGAGAAGCTAGAACAGTAGGAGAGGCATTTCCACTACAGATGGTAAATGCTATATTGCCCCTTTTTGAAGAGAGAAAATACTTTGTCACATGCAAATTCCTAGCTCATGTCAGGATGTTTCTGCATTCTTTCATGGCCAGGGGAACAGAATAAAAGGTCAGTGATTATTTCTGTTGACACGGATTATGGTTGTGTAATGTAATAGTTTGTCAAAGTGAGACTGTATCTTGCAATAATTGAGACACATTGTGTAACCTCCATGACCACTGTATTACAGAATCATTTAGTTACGCTGGTTCTTAACTGTGTTTTGTCTGCTAGCAATCTTGAAACTAGACTAAGCCAATTGCAGTAGCATTTATGAACCTTACCATAATTTCCTTAAGATTGCACATACTATCTTTCCTAAACCCTATTCTATCCTCCTTACACGTAGTACTGAAAGCTTAGAGTTCCAAAAATTGATTGCATTTTTTCACTTTCCTTTCCCCTAAAATATTGGGCGAATTTTGTGTTCCAGAGGCAGGATGAAATTAACACACACACACCTGGCAACTTTCATTTCACAACATAGGCTTGCTTTCATTGTGCAGTGTATGATACCCCAGTCTTTTATGAAAAAAATATAGTGCTGCTCCTACTATTCAGTCACATGCATATGTGGAAGATTAACGTTAATTAAGATGTAAAAATTTAAAGCTTTAAGCATGACTACAATAGGGATTTGTAAATGACGTAGGTTCAAAACTAAGCTTCCACCCCTACTGTTTAAAGAATTAGAGGGCAGGGGTCAAATTCTGATCTCACACCATTGTAACTCTGGAGTTGTGGTCACTGTCAGTTTGCTTCTGCACTAGAGTAACTGAGAGCAGAATTTCACCACTAAATTTGGAGGAGACCTCTCTTAAGGAAAGAAATGTCACAAGGGAATATTATACACTGGAGAAGAAATGTGGTATATATTTCAAGCAAGGCAGAAACTCAAAGGTCAATTGATCTTACTTGAAAATAAATTATAATAATCTTTTGCACAGGTTTCATTCCTAATCCTTTTACCATTAAACTGAATTTACAGGTGTTACCATCTACGGTTATCAAATGAAACCTGATCTCTTAAAAGAACAACAAGTTTTGGAAATTCAGTCTTTGAATGATTTGCTTTGTGACATTGTGGAAGTCATGAAGCTTTGCTGCATGCTACACTATCAGGCTATGTTACAGTGCTTGCTCTTTTTATGGCTCTATCCTGCAAGATACTGAGCAGTCATGTGACCTGTTGTGCACCCTCAAATCCTGTTGAAGTCAGTAGGAAGTGTGGGTGCTTAGCCCTTTAAAGGATCAAGCCCTTAGGGTAGAGTATGCAAAGATGAAGTGTTATAATTAGAGTGCATAAACACAAGTTTAGCCTTCTTATTTATTGTAAAATCTCTGCTTCTGGCATATAATTTTATTCAACATCCACAGACCTTAACCATTTATTACTTAGCACAGAATAAAAACAGTTCATCTTACACACTAGATTTGTTTTCCTTATTTCAGTTAATATTTGATTTGTACCTTTTATACAAAACACAAGAACAATTTACTCCAATATCCCATTAAAAACATCATTTATTGAGTCTAAGTTTGAACACCATATCCTTCACCCATGATGGCCACTGATAAATATTTTTCAGTTGACAAAATCTCATACAGCTGCATCTATAGTATATCCTCTGTTTAAAACTTTTTGTTATGGAGAAGAAGTTACAGTAGTAAGGGTTGTTCTAATAACCGAGCTAAGAGCAAGAATACAGTAGCCCAACATCAGAGGTAGACTTTTTAGTCACAGCTTCATGGAAAGAATGCAGCATTTCACAGCTGTGGTATAGCATCACATTTGTGGTACTACATTTAAGGCTGAATCACTTGTCTTCTATTAAAAGGACAGAGCTCTAGAAATGGGGGTCTGCCTGTACTCAAAAAAGCCTGAGCCAAAGCCTACTGAAGTCAGCGGGAGCCATTCCACTGAACGCCTTCAATGAGCTTTGGATCAGGCCTATAGATCTTTTTACCACTTGTCCCTGCTCTGCAACTACTTTAGGTATAGGGCATTAAGTCCCTGGAGAAATGGAATACCCCATGCTGCTCACCACTGCCCCACTCATCAATTAAGGGAGAAGAGGTAACTTGTTCTGAAGGGAGTCCTACCCAGAAGAATGATGTATCCCATGGTTCCCAACCAGGGATACATGTACCCCTGGGAGTACGCAGAGATCTTCTGGGGATATGTTAACTCATCTACATCCATTTCTCAACCTGGGATCATAGCATAGGCTTAGGGGAGTTGCAAGTGCAGGGCTGACGTTAAGGGGTGGCAAGCAGGGCACTTGCCCAGGGCCTCACACAGCTAAGTTACATGTTTCAGCCTGGGGTGGCAGGGCTTGGGCTTCGGGAGTATAGTAGTCTGGAAAGGGTGAGAACCAGATGTCTCCAATTCTGTATAGGAGTATGTGTAATTCTGTGGACAAGTTAATGATAGGAAGGTAAGGATGGTGTAATTCAATTTGTAAAAATCTCCAGGCTCGTAAGTTCAATGGTGTCACCCTCTGCAACATGGCAGGAAGGACTTGATACACCCCCACACTTGGTGGAATTTTAATAATACCAAGTCATTTGAAATGGATTACGGGTTGGGTATTGTTTGAAAGCCCTTTCTCTCACGAACACAATGGTATCAACATGACAAACCTAGAACAATTATGTATATATATATGTGAGAAAATGTTTTTAAAAAATCAATTTTTTTAAATTTATGCTTTAACACAGGGATGCATTGCTTAAGTAGAGATTGATTTTCGGTAATCCTAAAGAATCTAGCCTTGACACTTATAACTGAAAACATTTATTCCTCAAAGTCACCATCAGTGTTGTCTCAGTCTAGGACAGTACTGCTAGACATGTCACACTGATCCTTGTCTGTGCCACTCCCACACGTCTCTGTACAAGGCAGGCTGCTGGCCAAACATTTGCAGATGGTGAGCATCCGGTCTTTGCACACAAGCATTTGATGAGCTGCAGGATTGATTTGGAAGCGCATGGTATTTCACATAACTGCTGTAAAGTGATTCCCAACTTGACCCATTTCCAATGACACTATGATCAAAATGTCCACCAATCGGAGGAGCTGGGAGGGGACGAACAATGAATCCTCCCTGCCACACCACGGAGGGTAGCACCTTGAAATTATGATTCTGCAAATTTTTACAGATCAATTGACACCTCCCTTAGACCTTTCTATCACTAACTTGCCCATCGAATGAGATTTTACTATATTATGTACCCAGACTAATAGAGGGCAGGTACAGCAGCCCCTGAAGTCATACAGTCAGCAGCACCTTTTAAAATCTTTTTTTCTTAAAAGCAATAATTTAAAAGGGTTATTGCTAGGCTTCATTCATACATCTGAAATTGAAACTAAAGTGTAATCTCTGATAGCCCCTGCTAGAGAAAAATGGCCAATGCACCTATGCCACAATGACTGCATTTTAATGAGTCAGTGCACTGAAAAATGTTTTCCCATCCTCTTCTCGGGGGATAATGCTGGGCCCTCCAGCATAATGACCTTCAGACCGATGTGCTCACAAAGCAGACAGTCTAGTTGTAGTGTTTCAATTCTTAACACCAAGTTCAAATACAGGCAGTACACTTGTTTACCTAGTTTACAAATGTTTTAAATCTTTTTTAAAGACAGCTGATGTGAACAGTGGTACAGCCCTAGCAGTCTTAACAGGGACTTTCAGAGCTAATACAATTTCTATGGGCACTTCTACGGGCTTGGCACTTGGCTTGAATCTAGGCTGATTACAAAATACTTAAAAACTGCACTCTAAAATACTAAGGTTATAACAAAAGGAGACAAATGCACAGATGAGACCTGTATTTTTCTACTCCCTCGGCAGAAAGAAATGGTAGGTTTGATGCAAGCCATCTGCCTTTTTATTGAGAAAGATAGCAAACTGCTTCTATGATTATGCAAGGTAATGCTCAATCAGTTCATACTGCAAATAAATCTCAAAATTTAGGGCCAACTCCAGTTTGTTTGTTTTTAAATGCAAGTAGTCCCATTAATTTAATAGGAGAGCTCATAGGAGTAGAATGGAAATAGTTACGTGATGACGGATTTGTTGGGGTTTTGTTGTGGGGAGGGTTTAGCTAAACAACTTTAGCTCTGAAGTTCGTGAACTGCTACAAATTGTGGCATAACCCTGCTTGACCTCAAAGAGCAAAACATCTTAGCAAAATTAGTAATATAGAAAGAATTCTGGAAGTCTATAAAAATTTAATGTCAAGTTAATGTTTCCAAACAATTTTACCTAAAAACTATTAAAGGAAGACCATCATCTGGAAAAAAACTCACTTCTGTCTGAATGTATCTACTGTTATGATATCCAAGATTACAATAACTAAAGATTAAATAATTCCATTTTATTTTGTGCATCTGACTGTACTTTGTGTGGTCAATTTCACTTTTCCAGTGGACCTTTCACACAGCAACAACCAACTAAACAGGAAAATGGGATTGTACAATCACAACAACTGGCAGGAGGACTTGGACCGGTATAGTGCCTGATGCTTCTTTTAATTAGTTTATAAATTGACTAAATTTTACATTAACTGTCTCTTTAAAGTGCTGATTTATATAAAAGTGAAAAAATAACTTCTCATTTTAACCACTTCACAAATGTTAACCCAGTGTTTCTGTATTATGCTGTACAATAAAGACTCAAGGAAATTTTATACATTTACATTTATAGAGAACTGACAATAGCTATAGCCTACATAGGTGGGCCTCAATCCTTTGGCACATCTGTAACTTTTCTCAATGCTTATTTAAAAAATTGTAAAAAAAACGCCCAAATTATTTAGGCAGACATAAAAAGGTTTAAGTGACCATGAAAAGATGACTATATGGCAGGTATTAACATTGGCTTGCATTTGATACACCATTCTGTGTTATGCATAATCTAGTAAGCGTCATTACAAATGCAACAAACCAACAAATAGACACACCAGTAAGACTGTTAGTAACGCTTGCAGAGATGGAAGGACAGGGGAAAGGTATTCTGTTCATGCTAGTAACATGTGAATCAAGAACCTGATTATGATGTCTATTCAAAACAAGTGGCAAGGTAATATGTCTCTTTTGCTGTAGCAGTTTATTCCATTTTCCCCTCCTCTCTGGTTATTGCTATGATCACACTAGCTGTTAAGTTCTACTTTTCCTCTTATCTTCAAAAAGACTTTTCAGCATGTAAACCTGAACAGCTGAAACCACCACCATGACTCCCAAGTTGACCATGGACCAAAAATTCACGGTGTCAAAGTTGCTTTCTTGTATATTTCGATCACGAGCTTCAAATGCTCTGAGCAGCGTCTGAATCTGGAGGCTTTTGCTTAACCTGGCTTTGACATTGTTGATGGATTCCTGGTAAGGAACAGAATAGTGGTTTTTTAGACTGTAAAATCATTTGGAAGGAAACAGAAGTACATTTTCTGCTAATATCAGTACATATCACACTTCTCACTTTAAAAAACACTATTATTCACATTGCTGGTTTTTATTTGTGCATGTGTCACTACCACTTTTTCATTTTGCAGTTAGGTGACCGTTACTTCACCTTATGAATGTTACACATTATGAACTTTTCATTATTTTTTGTTAGCCTTATTGTGTTTATTTTCATGTGTTTGAATTTAAATACATAATATTTATCCCAGGCTCTGATCATCTTAACAAATCAATTAAAAAGAATCCACAACTATTTAACAAAAGAAGACCCCACCCGCTGAACAAAGAGACACTTAGAGCAGAATGCCCTAAAGGTAAACAAATTTGGGCTATGTTAGACCCATGTGGGACATGAAGTCCAAAGATGAGGCGCTCAAACAGCCCTCTATCTAATGACCTATGGGGGGGAGGGATAGTTCAGTGGTTTGAGCATTGGCCTGCTAAACCCAGGGTTGTGAGTTCAATCCTTGAGGGGGCCACTTGGGGATCTGGGGCAAAATCAGTATTTGGTCCTGCTAGTGAAGGCAGGGGGCTGGACTAGATGACCTTTCAAGGTCCCTTCCAGTTCTAGGAGATGGGATATCTCCATTAATTATTTAAAAAAATAATTATAATGTACTGTGTCAAGCAAGTATCTGATATGGCAACTACAATATTAGAGGAAAGACACCACACTGTTGGCCCCTGAAAGTTTAGATTAAATTTTCTAAACCAGCACTCTACTTTGTGTAGAACTAGATGGACATAAACCAAAACTGTTATATTTAGATTTAATAATCAAAATTAGTCAAGTCATTTCACAATGTACAGCTTCAAACCAGCATCATTGCAAATCTGTAGCTTTAAGATATCCCAGTGGTCCATTATCTGTATCAGATGGCTCATGAACAGTTCCATTCTGCACTACTGGACTGCAAAACAAAGCTAACTGTTCTCAGCTGGATTATCTGACCAAGATACCCTTTAACACAAAATGAGCTAGCATTAGCGTACAATGTTGTTTTTTATTGATTTATAAAGCACCTATTGACACAGTCAAACTATGTTCAGGTAATAGGTAACTATTTCTTGAGAGTGTTCTTTTACTGCTTATTCTGTTGACTCTTTTCTCCTATGTATTTGTATGGCCTCCAGTTTAAAAAGGAGGACTGGCAGACTTTGTCTGAATGTGAACTCAGATTCTGTTTTCTGCTTGTAAAAGTTGTTGGCATTAACACCCCCCCTCTGCTTCTTTATCCTCCTTTAGAAATTAAGAGTTAATATTTCTAATTATAATCTTTAACGTCTGTTGGGAAGTGAAGGATAATCTAATTTTCAATATTTTAAAATGTATTTAAAATAAATACAGAAAGAATTTGGCATCTTAAACATTCTATTAAGTGTTGGTTTGTGTTAGGAAAAAGATCTGGTTTTTCATGTATTATAGGAAATAGGACCTGATACACAAACTAGATCATTTTCTACATGGATGAATAGTCTGTGGGACAGCAGATGGTATGTAAATACATTTTTAGTGCATGCTGATTTGCTTTTTTGGCAGGCCTTTATTTTCTCTGTCTAACTCAGTAAGTTCAGGACTCAGTATTGTAGCCTGCTAAGACTACTGAAACAAGCACAGGCATAGCCTTATTGTCCAGGACTCAGTATTTGCTTCAAAATTTGTGTAGAAGAACTTATACAATAGTATGAAAAAATTGGCACAGCAATGAGTGCAAGCTTCTACACCTACAGTGAACTGAATGCTGTTGCTAGGGAGGCGGAAAAGGCTATGACTGGGATGCAGGCAGTGGAGATAGCCAGTATATGGTTTTAGTGATACCACTTAAAGCAAATGATGTATGGAGTGCCCGGAGTTAGGATTTTCAGTTATTCTGATTTCAAACTAGGAGCAGGCTGACTCAAGTGTGCTTATGAGTTGCCGCGGGGGGCGGGGGGAAGGGGGAGGGAGAGAAGGAGTATCAGAAGGATAGTTGGGCAGTCATGAGGGCCAGCCACTGACACAGAAACATTTCCAATAGTATCCTGAAAATAGTATCCCTTCCAGGTAATTTCTCAATGCCTGGGGACATAGTGTGTGCATAGCATAATGTCTTTCCCAATTCAACCAACTACAGAAGCCACTCCCTGTAGTTGACTTCATTGTATTTCACCATTAACAAAATACCATGCTCATTAGCTCGACTGGTGGATTAACACTGCTCTCCCTCAACTCTCATCTGCATCCCTCCAAGGTTGAGTGCCTAGCCACTGTTTAGAAGTATGTTATCTTAAAGCTTTACTTATTCCCTCTTTCCCCCCTCTTTGCTATTTATTCCCATTATGCTATATAGTGACTAGGGCACTAAGCCAGGATGAGAACAAGAGTTATCCAACAGCATAATTATGAGACACATCAAAGGATATATCCAACAAGTGCTTCTGATGCTACCACAGAGACTAAGCAGAGTAGCCCTGTGAGAGGAGTATTACCACCGTTTAGCTATTGGAGACATGGTTTGTTTGTCCCCTTTCTCATGATGGGGAGAAGAGGAGGCAGGTGGCCAGTGAAAGGACTCAGACTACTGGATACACAGTCCCTTCCAACTGTGCAAGGTGAGGCATAAACGCACACAGAAAGATTTCCCATTCAATCTCTCATTTGGAAGGAAGAAAATTGTGTTGGGCCTCATGTGGCAGGGTAGTGGATGCGTACAAGTAGAAGAATCCTCAGGGCTACAGAAGATTCTTTAGATGAAACAATATGCAAAACTGATTTATCCTCTGGCAGATCGAGGACTGCATATACTTTGTGATTAACCAAAAGACCAGGTGGAAGAAAAACAAGAGTACTGTGTATATAGACATATATAAGCAGAGAAATTTGTCAACATTTCAGGGCAACTTTTGGGAATAGGGGCTGGCTTATATGCACGCGAGTTTGATCACTTCTCTTCCCCTCTCTCTTTCCTGCCTAAGAATGATGATAATATGCATTTATACAGAAATTATCATCCAACCGCTTTACAAATATCAGCTAATTTAGCCTCATACTATGTTATGCAGTAAGTGGTAGATAGTAATCGCTTTGCCCATCACTGAAACGCAACCACCACTGAGATGTACAGCAGTTGCACTACTGCTGTTCCTCTAGGGAATATGTTTGCTTATCTTATGAAGAAGAGGAGATGGCCACTTTACATTTGTGTGTATATATAATTACCAAATGGGTCAGATTTATTATTTTGTTTGTGCCTTCAAGTCACGTGCTCGCTCAAAATGAGCTTGATCCCAAATTCTATATGTACATGAACACCAAGTTAATTGCTCTAGGTCAAAAATAAACCTTATGATTCACCATAAGCACAGACACAAAATAACGAAAAAAACCTGCCACCATACATACACACACACACATTCTGTTTTAATAACAATAGTAATATTTTGTACTTTTAATAAGTTCCTTGACTGAAAGGCATTAATCACATTGAGCAAAGACTCGAAGCTCCCCTATGATAGTTATTATTCACAGATGAAAGAGACACTTAAGAGTATGTCTACACTGCAATTAGACACCCGCGGCTGGCCCATGCCAGCTGAGTTGGGCCCGCAGGGTTCCGGCTAAGGGACTGTTAATTGTGGTGTAGACGTTTGGGCTCAGGCTGCAGTCCAAGTGCTGGGACCCTCCCACCTCACAGGGTCTGAGAGCCTAGACTCCAGCCTGAGTCCAAACACCTGCACCACAATTAAACAGCCTCTTAGCCTGAGTCAGCTAGCACGGGCCAGCCATAGGGGTCTAACTGCAGTGTAGACATAACCAGTGAGGTTAAATCACTTGCCGTGGGCCACACAGGAAATCCATGGCAGAGCTGGAACTAGAATCCAGATCTTTTAATTCCCAATGCTGCTCTTTAACCACAGGCTCCCCTCAATATGGGACAGAGTGAACATAATGTCCTATGAGGAGCACAGCTGATCACACTGTTTCCCAGCTGCTCAGGCCCTCACATAGAACAAGACTAAGGCATATTCCCATGGCAGAATGATTATATGAGTTTTTCAGATACTCAGACCTTAACCATCTGATGCTGTAGAGCACAATACTTACCAGAATATCTTCAAGTTTCATATCCAACAGGTCTGTGCCTGTAATGTACTTCTTCCAGTCCTCTAGTTCTCCTTCTCCCATATTATCTAGGATCAATTCAAAGAAAATCACCTTCTCTGAAATGGTGCTGAATGTGTTGTCAAAGCAGAACATGTAATCTCCATCTTCTGTTTCCACCCTGTATATGAGCAAACATACATCTTTAAACTACAGTGTATTTTTAATGTTGGCTCTAAACTTACATTTTTTAATATTCTTCCTTATGTGATTATGACAGTTATGCAAACAGAAATAATTAGATATGCTATACATAAATACAAATAAATGAAATGCAAGGACACACTAGGGAATGATATAGCACAACCAGAAATTACATGTAAGAAAACAAACTCAGATAATGTTAAATCTTAGTATGATGAGTAGTAGCTTTCCTTCACTTTATTTTTTAAAAATTAAAGCTTGAAAGCTTAATGCTCACAACCACTTTTAAAAATAAGACAGCAGCCACTTCTAGCTATGGAAAATAGAAATACCTTTTAAAAGTTTAAATTGACCACTGGCTGCAAAAGGAGCAGAGGGGATAGAATCTTCATCTTTACAAATGGTCCCTGCTCCACTGAAGTTAATGTTAATTGTATCAATATTAGCCCCAAATATTTGAGAAAGTAAATTTGGTATCATTGTTTAAAAAACAAAAACAAACCCTGGAAAGAGATCAGACTGCCAGTATGCCAAATAAACGATTACTTGAAATAGCGAACAGTTTACTTTAGTACAGAGAAAATACCCTGGCACAAAGACCTTTTGGAACTCCACAATAGGGAGTGCTTGGCTGTTGACTGCCAATAAACAGACCATGGCAAGTCAAACATCCTTCACTCCTGGAGGAACCTATCTATGAAGTATTAATAGACTAATACAAAATTAAGAGTACTTATATATGAAATATTTGTGTGCTCAAGCTGCTTTGTAAAAAAGCCTATAATATAAAAATTAAATAACAAGCATGTGAATTTATCAAGCATTTATCAAGCTACCAAGTTTCTTATATTCTACATTCAAGGAGTGATTTAGGTTAACAATACAACCAGTTTTTACAACTGTTAAGAACTATGATTTAAAATACTCAATTCTAAGTTTTGTATTTGTTTGAAGCAACTATAATACTGCTGTATATAATACTGAGTTTCAAGTTTGGAGATTTTAGACTTACGTGTGGACTCCATCTGATTTTCTCTGATGAAAAACTAGGATTTCACCTTTTGGAGATTCCAAGTAAAAGTCAACATCTAATCCTGCTCCGTCTAAAACCTGTAAAGTCAGCAAAAAAAACAACAAAAAACCCCACACTCTTGTCTGAGTTGTTGAAAAGAAACACTTTATGTAAAGGAATCGATACTGGGAGAATTTAAAGGGTGAATTCATCTACCCTAGAGTTCAAACCAAGTTACCTAGAACCAGGTTTTTGCCAGAAAGATGCTACACAGTTTCAAATTCCAGTATAGTCATGACTAATCACGTTAGGAAAGGAATAAACTGAGCTTTTTCCTAACACTTTCTATTATTGCTTTCTCTAATGCAATTCTACCAATGGTGGTAACAGTGGGAAAACTAGTATAGACAAGGCATTGCAGGATATTTATTCACTGTGTCACCTTGAACTGCTTTGAGCAGGCTTAGAAAGCATGGTAGTAAGAATGCCAGCACATGGTCTACAGTAGCACTTCCATTATAGATATCACTGGTGGAGCTGTACCAGTGTTGGTTAAATGGTAGGAAATTTTAAGTAAAATCTCAGTGTAGATAAGGCTTTATAATATAGATCACACCTAGAACTTTTCTAACAAGAATAGTATTTAAAGATGGTTCTGTCTAACAAGGTTTCAACTCATGTAGAAACATTCTAAGGGCTTTGTTGTTGGAGGATCAGAGTTTGTAGTGCAGGAGACATGCCCACTCACCACGCTAGTTACAGCCATAGAAAAGGGGATTCCAGTGGTTTTCTGCCTGTCGGGAAATACTGCAGATTTAGGATCCCAATCCAGCAAGATGCTGAGCATTCTCATCTCTCATTAAAGTTAAAAGGAATTGAAGGCATTTAGCAGTCACAGGATCAAACCCTTTGAGCTTGTCAACACTAAAAAGTTGTACTGCTTTAACTATACCAGTATGAATGCAGTTATATTGGTATAATGGTGCTCTTTATACTGATATAGCTATTCCCACATGAGAAGGAAAATAAATATACTGGTATAAGTTATCTTTATACTGGTATTACTGGTCCATACTAGGGCTTTTATCATTATAACTATTTTGGTTTACCAAAAAAAAAAAAAAAAAACCAAAACAAAACAAAAAACGCCATCTTTACTCAAAACAGTTAAACTGGTACAACTTTTAAGTGCAGACTAGGCCTTTCTCACTCAGGACCCAATCCTGCTCCTACTGAAGTCAATGGCAAAACTTGCAATGACCTCAGTAGGTGCAAGATTGGAGCTTTACTGAAAGGGAGGAGGAAGAAAATAATTAAGGAAAAAGATTACAAGAATGAAGAGATAAGTAGTAATTTAACTTTGATATACAGAAGCAATATGATCTGAGCACACTGTATCAGACTCTCAATTTCATATTGGTTTACTATATTGTGAGTCAGAAAGAAACTATTCTTGTCCTTTATCCATTTATTGTGTCAGTGCATCTGAAAAAATATAGAAATCTGAAGGCAGGTGAGAGGATTGTGAGAGTTTTTTTCACATTTCAACGTACCTTTGTATATAGGAGAGTTTGCGAATCTAATTAAAAATAAGCAGTCCCATCTATACAGAAGAATTGTGTTAGCCTGAATTGCAGCCTGGCATTTGTGTGATAGCAAGGTTAAAAGATGGTACAACCACACAGTTAGGAATTACCTACTGGTGAGTTGTGGGTGGACATAAACAGTGTGTAAGGAGTCAACCGTGTTAGTTAGAACCTAGTTGCAAACAGGGTAAAAATCTGTTGTGTAAACAGTTCCTATAAGTCAACAGCTAATTTAGTATAAAAACAGTGCCTGGCAAGTTATAAAGGTGATCATACAGATGGCTGGGGGGGGGGAGGAAAAAAAAAAACAATGGAAATGGAGTGAGAACAGAGAACACTACATATTCGCATGGAATTGCAGGAAGCAGATTACTTATTTTAACTCTGCTGGACTATAGATCCCAATCTGCTGCCTAAAACAGACCCTATCATTGTTTTGCAACAACAAACTTTTAGACTCAGACTTTAAGGTCAGAAGGGACCACAATAATCATCTAGTCTGACCTCCAAACATAATTGCCTCATCAGCATAAAACGGACCTTAACTTTTTGCCTGCCTGCTACCATCTGCTTGGTCCTTCAAAATCTGGAAGACAGACATAGTTAGGTGGGGAAGTGTGCTCTGTGAGGATCTTTTGCATAACATTTGAACCTGAGCTCCTGGCAGTCCTATGTGGACATTAGAGGCCCATCTAGCATTTTCCATGATTTTGCCCCTTGGCCAAAAGTTTCCATCCTGTGGTGGGGGTTGGTTTCCAGACGCACCTCTGAGATCGCTGAACTAGGGTTGCCAGTTTTGGTTGGACTTATTCCTGGAGGCTTCATCTCATGTTATAGTCTTTAACTCCTACAGACTCCAGGACAATCCTGGAGGGATAAAACCCTAGGCTGAACCTCACTGTTCACTCTGCCTTTCCCAGGCCTATTTGCCCACCCAGCGCACTGAGTAACTTCAGTGACAGGCAGGAAAACTCCTGCGTTCCCCCTTCCCGTTACTGCCAATCGCTGGGGTGCGCGGTCCCGGAACGAGCGTTGTGCCCGGCTAATAAATCTTCCTGACAATGGAGCCAGGTGGCCTATACAGGCCGCGCTGCGAGGGCACCCAGCCCTGCTCAGCCTCCCGGCTGTGCATGCGGGCAGGGCCCGCTCTTGCCTGGCGCCGCGGGAGGCTGCTGCAGCGACGGCAGCACATCGAGAAGACCGGGCGGGAAAGCGGATCTCCGCCACGCGCGCAGCGGAGGATGCAGGGCCGGCTCCACCCACTGTCGCTAGCCCCGAGCCAGGTCCCCTCACCTGGTACTCGACCTCCAGCGAGGCCCCGTGCCGCATGGGCTGGAAGAAGCACTCCTTGCGGCCGGCGGGCAGCGTGAAGGTGAAGTCGCTGTCCAGGGAGGAAGCGAATCCGAAGGCGCCGGGCGGCAGCAGCAGCAGCAGGTTGTGGAGAAGGAGGAGCAGGCGGGACGCTGTCCCCATCCCCGCGGGCAGTGCTGGGCCTGGCACGGCGCGCTCCGGCTCTGCCCGGCCGACGGGAACAGGATGTTCTCACGGACACGGATGACTCCAGCCTGTCAGAGCGCCAGCGGGCTGGCTGCGGGCGAGAGCAGCCGGCCCTGGGGAGGAGCAGCAGCCCGAGCCCCCAGCCCAATGGCATAGCAGCAGCCACGCCCCGGAAGCGTTCTCAGCATCGCCCAGCTAGTGCACACACCTCCACCGCCCCATAATGCTCCAGCAGCCGGGAAGAAGGTATTGCGCTGCCAATAGGAAAAGGAAGGGATGATTTTCTTCAGGGACTGCCCCGAACGCTCATTTTCCGGGGTATGGTGGGAAATGTAGTTCGATTCCGGTAGCAGTGGGCGGATGTACCCAGACATCAGACCACCATTCCCAGGGGGCCAAGAGGGGAGGAAAAGGTAGGGGGACGGGACAGTGAAATGCGCATGCGTAGTAGGAGAATTCGGGCTGTTGCTGTCTCTGGAATTCAACGGCCCGCGCAGTTCGAACGAACGGGCGAAGACGGGGCGCCTTTCGGGACAGCTTTAGAGCGCGAAGTACCCTCGATAGAGATCAGCTGCGCGCCCCGAGGGGGTGCGCGAAGAAGCTGCTCTACAGGGGCTTTTCTGGCGGTGCCAACCCCCTTACTTGGGGGAAGGTAGGCGGGGGGCTCTGGGCTGCACGGTCACGGAGCTCCCGCAAGATGGGCCCGGGTCTCTCTCTGCGGCAGTTCTGAGGGGACAGTGCCAGCCCGGCTCGGCGGGATCCCAGGCAGGGCCGGCGGCGGCGCCGCTCTTGCTCCCGCCTAGCCGGGGGCTGTACTGGGAAGTGGAGAGCCGCGTTGCTGAGCAACGCGAAGTGCTGTTCCCCGTGGCCGGGATAGGTTTCCGGCTGGTATCTGACTGGCTTGGCTGTTTTTTTAATGGATTTGCCCGAAAAATAACGTAATCTGCAGGGCTTTTTCCGTGGGTGGAAAGATTGGCATTATTAGCCCAATACACTGCGATAGCTCATGTTAAAAGTCCCGGTGTCCAGCTAAAGATGCTGCAGTGTTCCCACTTCTGCAGTTTAAGCGATAACAGATGGTGATAGTTGAGAATACTGTAGCTGTGGGCCCACCAACACGCAAGCCCACCGTGTGTGTGTGTGTGTGTGTGTGTGTGTGTGTGTGTGTAGAGAGAGAGAGAGAGAGAGAGAGAGAGAGGGTTTGAGTTAGCTAGAGTGAGGAGACTGGGATCTTCTCAATCTTATTTATGTGTTATCTCTTTAGATACTATAAGTGGCTGTTGAAGCGGGGGTTGCAGGGGTGGTTGGGGGTTGAGGTTGCAGCAGGCTTGCCTTATAGTGGGGGTGCTGGGTTTTTTGCATTTGAAAGGTGGTAAACCTACGCAGTGGTCACCAACCGATCTATCACAGTCTCCGGCCGCTAAAAGTTCGGCCGGGCCAAGGCAGGCTCCCTGCCTGCCCATACCCCACACCGCTCCCGGAAGCAGCTAGCATATCCCTGCATGATGGGCGTAAGGGGTCTCCATGCGCAGCTCTTGCCTGTAGGCACCATCCCCGCAGCTCCCATTGGCCGGGAATGGGGAACTGCGGCCAATGGGAGCTGCGGGGATGGTGCCTGCAGGAAGGGGCAGCGCACTGAGATATGTGCCTGACCCCCCCAGGGGCCCCAGGGATGTGCTGGCAGCTTCCAGGAGTGGCGTGGGGCCAGGACAGGCAGGGAGCCAGCCTTAGCCCTGCTGCCTGAGGTAAGTACCACCCAACGGGAGCCCACACCCCAACCCCCTGTCCCAGCCTTTAGCCCCATCCCGGAGCCTGCAACCCAAGCCCCCTCCCACACCCCAACTTCCTGCCCCATCCCAGAGCCCCTTCCTGCACCCAAGCTTCCTCCCAGAGCTTGCACCCCTTCATCCTGCCCTGCACCCCTGCCCCAGGCTCAGCCCGGAGCCCCCTCCACACTCCAAACCGCTTGGCCCCAGCCCAGAGCCCGCCCCCTCCTGAAACCCCTGCCCCAGCCTGGTGAAACTGTGAGTGAGGGTGTGCGAACGAACGATGGAGGGAGGAGGGGATGGAGGGAGCGAGGCAGGGTCTCAGGGAAGGGGCAGGGTAGATCCTGGGTTGCACTTAAATTCAAAAAGTGATCTTGTGCTATGGGCTGGGTAGGAGGGGTTCAGTCCTAGAGGCAGGGCTGGCACTGGGAGCAGAAGATAAGGGAGGACACAAGGGTAAAGAAAGCACCAGGCCAAATTAAAACAAAATCTTTGTGTCAAAAACCAAGTGCTAATCTGATCTGAAAAGAGGTCATTGGAAACTCAAGCAACAGCCAGCACTGTGCAAGAACGTTTCTCTCCTCTCTGTTGCTGATACTTGTATGAATAAAGCTTTCTTCCTCCTCACCCACCTGCTTCTGTTTGCCTGTGTAATGTGTGCACGTGTAGTAGCACTGAGCACGCTCGCTGGTGAAATGCGCAAGCCTATTGGAATAGGGGAGAGTGAAGGCCCCTCTCCCCAGAATTCCTTGCCAATGTGTCTTGAGCCTGACTGGAAGTAGCCACTTTAAGGGTGAGATGAGAGTTCAGTCCCCTATACCCATTCAGTGCTCTTTGCAGCAATGGTTAAAGGTGATGTTTGTGATAAGGATAACTGTCCATAAGCTGAAGAACTCATTAAGTGTAGGCCATCAAACAGCTAATCTGGGCTGTATTTGAACTGTGAGTCACAAATCCATGCTGTAAACCAAAGAAATCCCATTTATTTTACTGGGAGTTGTGCCTATTTGCTTACTAACAGGTTAGGTGAGAACATGTATTTAAATACTGCTAGCAGATTTGGGAGTGAACATTGCTTAAATGTAATTCCACTTTCACATGAAGCTCAGTCCAGGCATGATTGAAGTGTTGCTGGCACAAGATCCAACTAGAGAAGGAGGAAGATGTAATAATCTGCTCCTTCTGTTACAGGAGTATGTTTGCTTATTGTTAATTCAGTTCACAAGGTGGGGGTCCTCTTGATCCTAAAATTTAAGTAGCAGCAGTAGCTGAATCTGTCTCCAAGGGAACAGTCTTTCCTTTTGAGATGGGGACCTCATTTTGCCCTGGACTACACTGGTGCACTCTGTGTGGGGGCTACTATTGAAGATCACACGGAAACTTCAGCTAGTGGAGAATATGACATCTTGTTCCATAGTGGTGGTGGTAGGTGTGGTGGTACCTGGGTGATTAAAAGTATTGTTAAATATACTTGCATGAGAGACACACAACAACTGTACTGTGTAGACTGTACTTGCTATCAGGTTTTTTTTCTGGTCTCAATGTAATGCATGGGTCTTCACTTATAAACTCCTATGTGGTTTGGGTTCTGGCTATCTTTTTAGATGATTCTCTCCTTGTGTAACATTCTGACCATTGAAAGTAGTTGCTAACTTGCTAATGGTCCCCCATCTGAATTGTGAGAGCTCAGGGCATTGTGTTTTCTATATGGGAGGTCTAGGTTCTGAAATTCACTTCTGCCTTGGATCAAAAAAAAATTAGGGCACCTCGCAGTGTCCATCTTCACTCAGGCCTTTCTTAAGTAAGTGAGATGCACTGACAGTTAAATATTTATTTCTATTGTGCAGTGTTTCTTTAATTGAAAAGAGCAGATGTGCCTAATGACTATCAACAGTACATATTTTATAGATCACAAATAAGCCAGTTCTTCATTCTGTACTATTCCTATTCTATTTCTTTTATAGAAAATAAACCTATTCTTCAGCTATTTGTACATAGTACCCTCGTATGCTTATTCCCGTGACTTCTCAGGCATAGGGAAGATATGCTTATTAAAACACAAATATATTTGTTAACAAAGAGAATAAAGAAATAGCCAAGTAAAAGCAATTGTATATAGCTATGCTTTCAAGTTTTTATTGGTATGAAAGGAGGCAATAAGTGAGACTTTGCATGTATGTAAGGAAAACAAACATACATAAAACCTTTTAAAATGTTGAAAAAATATCTGCTACTTTCTAGAAATAGTGTACAATGCTGTTAAACTAAATTTTAGTATTATAAACTTATTTTAGACAAATGTAGAGTACCAATGGAATCCAACTTACGGATTTACCATAAAAAAGATGATGATGATGATGAGGAACTCTTGTTTGCAAATGTAGAGGCATTAAGGAATCAACTGAGGAAAACCGAGAGAAATCTACAAAATCTAGGGGAAGAGCTTTCCAGGTATGTGTGTATTTAAAAACAAGAAGAGAACTAGGCCTTAATTGAGGGACGGGCAAACTTTTTGGCTTGAGGGCTGCATCGGGTTTCGTAAATTGTATGCAGGGCTGGTTGGGGAGGGGGTTGTGGCTTGGCCCCCACCTCCTATCTGCCCACCCTAGGACTCCTGCCCCATCCAACCCACCCTGTTCCCTGATGGCTCCTCTGGGACCCCTGCCCCATCCACACACCCCCGTACTCTGTCTCCCGACCATCCCCAGACCCCCACCACCCCATCCAACCCCTCCTCTCATTCCTGACGGCCCCCCTGGGACCCGTTCCCCATCCAACCACCCCTTCTCTCTGTCCCCTGACTGCCTCCAGAACCCCTGCCCCTGACTGCCCCCTCATCCAACCCCCCCTCCTTCCTGACTGCCTCCCGGGATCCCTGCCCCCATTCAACCCCCTTTCCCCCCCCCGACCACCATCCACACCCCTGCCCCCAGACCACCACCCCGAACTCCCCTGCCCCCTTACTGCACTGCCTGGAGCACCGGTGGCTGGCAGCGCTACAGCCACCTCAGCCTCACCACCGCTACAGCCACACCACCGCCACCTCAGCCTCCACCACGCAGCACAGAGGACCGGATCAGGCCGGGCTCTACAGCTGCACTGCCCCAGGAGCTCACAGCTCCGCTGCCCAGAGCATTGCTGGGGGTGAGCCTCCCGGGCCAGGAGCTTGGGGGCTGGGCAGGACGGTCCCGCGGGCCGGATGTGGCCTGTGGGCCGTAGTTTGCCTGCTCCTGCCTTAAGTCTTTCCAGTTGTTTAAATCTATATTATTCACTATATTATTATAACTCATTGTCTTTATTTGTGTTTTGTTTCTGGTATATTTGATAAAAACACTACTGGGGGGGGAATGCTTATTATTGTTTTGTTTTGTATCCTAGTACTAGTTCGAGTGAGCAATCTGTCCACAGCTCTCATTTCAGTGAGTTTGTCGGACTAACACTGGAAGATCTTGTTGAGCCGAGTTGCACTGAATTTCAAAATTATTTAGCTCATAAGAGTGCTGGTAATATGTCCCACCAGAGCAGGGATTCTCAAAGAAAATCCCAAACCAAGGTATTTATTTATATTTGTTGCAATGTTTGTTTTACACACTTGTGATTATGAACGTTTGACTTTATCCTTTCATTTGTAGGCTTCTCAGCTAATATATAGCAAGCACTGGGGAGTTAGGCATGGTAACATATTATTTCTATGACTTAAGTAAGATTGGCCTACAAAGATTCATTGCTGATATACATATATTTTTTACCTCAAGTCTTACCCAGTGTCCACTCCTTTTAATAAAAGTATGGAACAAGAAAATGAGCATCTTAGAGAGAAGCTGAACACACTTCGAGATCAAAATGCCGCTTTGACTTCCCAGAACCACTGTCTAATGAATAAAATTGAAACTATCAACTTTGAACTGACTCAGTCAAAAACAAGAGTAAGTATTGTAGAAATATTACTTCTGAGGAAATTCTGCACCAAAAAATTAAAAATTGTGTATAATATTTTAAAATTCTGCAAATTTTATTTGTCAAATAAAAGTGGCTCCAGCATGGCCGTGGGGAGCACAGGCCACTGGCTGCACTGAGGTGGGAGATCACCCTGAACCCTCTACCTCCCCCAGTACAGGGACTCGGCAGCGTGGTTGCTGGTTGCACAAGGGCTGGACCTGCCCCAGAAACACCTTGGGGCTCTGTGCCAGGTGTGGGTGGGCAGGCTCAGCCGATCAGGATTCAAGTGTGGAGGGGCTTAGTGTGTGGGGGATCCGGGTGTGGGGTGAGAGGTTTCTATGTGGAGCAATCTGGGTGCGGGTGGCTCAGTGGGAGATCTGGATGCACAGGGGCTCACTGGGAGGTTCTGGGTGCAGGGGCAATGGGACTCTGCAGGAGATCCAGGTGAAGGTGGTTGGGGCTCAGCTGGGGGGTCTGGGTGTGGGGGGCTCTGTGGGAGGATCCAGATGCTGGAGGAGTGTGGCTTGATAGGGTGGGGGTCCAGGTGCAGCTGGTTGGGGATCAGTCGGATGGGGGTCTGGGTGTGGAGGGTTTGTCAGAGGGGTGTAGGGGAGTAGGGTTTGTCAGGATGAGGGTTCGATGGGTCTGCTTAAGGGGGGTGCTTCAGCTGCCTGCGGAGGAGATGCTGCATGCCGGGCTCCCACTTCCCCCCCATGATTCCCCATCCCCTTTTCTTCTCCACCCCCCTGCCCTCACTCCCATATTCCCTTCCTTCTGCCCTATTCCACCCTCTCTTCCTTCCCCACTGCCTCTCCCCGTCCCCCCCCAACCTCCATTCCCTCACTTCCCCGCTTACCTGGCCCCACCGTGGGCACTAACTGTTGCACAGAAAACAGGGAGACGCCCGGCATACAGAAGGGGAGCACAACTGGCACTAGGAACCAGGAGTTGGCGTTCAGCCGCAGAGTCTGGAGCGGAGAGGCATCCTCCTTCAGCTGGGCAGCTCTGCACTTGCAGAAATGGGGGTGGTGGTCAGTGGCACACAACCCTATGTGCCCCCCCCCCATGTTTCCCCCCCCAAATGACTGTGCCTATGGTCGTCCCCGCATGCGGCTTCCCGGCTGTTTTCTGCAGGGAAGCATAGGAATGGAGGGGGGGAGGGGATTTGCGGATTTTCTGCAGGCACCTAGTCACGTAGAATCCCTCCAGGAGTAAAGGATGAATATGTGGTCTCTAGCAACACAAAATATCTTAGAAAAATAAATCCCTGGTAACTGTATTGTAGTTTTGAGTAGAATATGTCTGTTCACCTTGGATTAATCTATTTAAAATCTATAAATACTCAATCATTATTATTTATTTATTTATTTGTATAGTAGTAGCACCTAAGAACCCTAGTCATGTACCCATTGGTCTAAGTGCTGTACAAACAGAACAAAATGATACTCTGCCCCTAAAAGCTTACAATCTAAGTATAGTAATAAAGATGCCCTGTAACCTATACAAGAAGTAACTTGGTAAATTTTTTAGCATTATACATAAATATATATTCAGTACATCTGCCTGAGATAAATTGGGCTCCTGTATACATATTAACAATGAGAACTGAAGAAGTCTGGTCTTGTTTCCAAATAAAGAGCAATATGTCTGATATGTAGAGAAAGTGAAGATGAGTTATGAGGGCATATTGCAGACCATGGAGAGAGGTAGACTGTTTATATAATTTACACATATATTTTAAAAATTCAGGTACTTGAATTAAAGAAATATTGTTTTGCTTGTTTTTAGTTTACACAGAATCTTACTAAAATCTTTGCAGACTACAGCACTGCAGGAATAGCGTGAAACGCGGTTACTGAGAAGTAAGCCACTCTATTGTGTGCATGTTGGTCTACAGAATAAAGATTATAGTATATTATAATATTCAACAGTGTTTCTCAGACTCCATCCAGAGGACAAGTGATGTTGGAGAAAAAACAAAGAAGAGATTAACAGCTAGTGGGGGTGAGAGGGCAAAGAACAAACTCCCGTACAAACCAGAAAAATGAGTAAAAATGGAGGAATATTAATTTTTGGAGGAAAAAATTGAGACAACTGTAAACAAATTCTTTTTTAACATACCAAAACAGAGTGGAATGATACCGATGACACTGGCAATGTGCCAACCCGAAGGGAAAGCTTGAAGTCAGTGAATGTGGTGTGGAAATGTCCTGGCAATTTCTATAGCAGGGTTAGGCAGACAACGTCATTCAATTATGCAACAGACCTTTTGGCACAATTCATTTTAGGGTATGTTTGCAAATTTTAATGAAGTCCCAAATATGTTTATATTTCAGATCTCTTTTCTTGAATCAGCTCTAGGTACCCATTCAGTCAGTATTCCTATGTTAGAAGAACAGATTGCAAATTTGGAAGCAGAAGTTACAGCTCAAGATAAAGTCCTGAGGTAATAAGTGTACTTTTCCCCTCCCTTATAAACCTTTTGGTCTACTTGTTTAATTCACAGTTTTCCCCAGGAACGGGAAATACAGATTGCTTCCAAATCTAGTGCTTTTCATCAGAACTATTATGAAGTTTTGAAATCTGTCCTTGAGAAATTGCCGATTATGTGTGTTATATTGGTGTTTTATGTTAGTGTATGTAAGATATGATGATAATGTGTTCTAAGAATTTAAAGTAATTAATGAAGATTTGGTAAAGTAAACAAACTAAAGAATTCTAAAATAAATTACTAGTTTATAACGTGGGGTAAACATAAATGATTATATATACATTGCAGAAATATAGACATTTGTACCCATTGTACAACGAGCAAACTTTTTGTTTTCTCAAATATATCCACTTACTACACTAGAATCAATCATGGCTGTCCAAATAAAGCTTACCCCCAAAAGTTGTCTGTCACTAAAGCTGACAGCCATACACCAGTCCACACGTTGACTTACATGCTTCATTTGCTTAGTTATACTGTAAGAGCTTGATCTCCCCACTGAAACAGAAATATCGTTGTGTAAGTAGCATTTGATTTAGCCCTTTTGGACACACATGTAATCTTCAAGACCATAGAATACTTTAAAAAACAAACAAAATTTCTCCTGGCAAACAAATACGAAAAGTACTCCACTTTCGCAATAATATTTTCATCTTGTCATCCGCGTGAAACAGACTTGCTTAAGCAGAGAGATACACAGCTGCTGCATACCCTGTTATGGAAGCAAGTTGAAACACTTTCTTCGCAAATATATTTTACATTAGTTAAAAAGACCCACAGATATATAAAACAATGTAATGATTCATGATAGAGCACTAAGATCTCCTTTGCACTTAGGGTGGCAGGAATAGCACAAGGATACACTCAGTCCTCTGTCCCCTGCATTGCTAAGGATAAAACAGATATTCCACTGGTCACTACTATGTATCTCTATAATGATGATACACAAATGAAGGCAGTGTCTTACAAATAGATTTGGAAGGATCAGATTTTTATCGATAAATGTTGGTAAACATCAATTTCACTATACACATACAAACTACCAAAAAAATATTTCCATAAATGATGATTGAAATTTACTGATAGGCAAAGTAAGAAAAATGTTGCTTGAGAACTTAGTCAAAATCCAGTGATTTAGATATTTGAATTAGGCTTGTTAGAAATGGGCTAGGAAATGAATAGTAAAAACAGGTATGATTTGTTGAGTTAAGGATATTTGACATGTGACGTTGACAGTTTGTGTGTTAATGGTTTATAAAAACTTCTAACTTTTGAATCTCAATGTCTTCTGTCGTTAAATAATTGTCTGACCTCCTCCACGTAATTTTCTGCAAAATTTCTGTGAAATTTAAATAAATAAAAGTCTGAGAAAGTGCTTAAATATTTATATTATCCCTCAAAATTATAATCAAATATTGAATTCTGCCAAGCCTGCTTATAAATTCTGACTCTGAATTTTGTGTAAGGTGACTTTCCTGATTATTATTTTATTATATATTTGTATTGTGGTGGCACCCAGAGTCCTGGACCAGGGTAGGGCCCCACTGTGCTGGATGCTGTACAAACAGATAGTAAACAAAAATTCCTACGCCATATTGATTAAAATGTCAATACACAGTTTAATAAGGATGCAAATAGGCAAAACTTGCTTTACAAAATAAGTAACTTTATTAATTTTAATATCTTTAATTGGTTTAGTCCTTATTGTATTAGCTCAAATACAGGATTGTCTCTTTCTTTGGACAGAGGCTGGCAAAATGATTTCCCATATATCAGACTAGCTAGTCCTCCAATTGAACTTCATATATGGAAAAGAAAAAAAATGCTATTTGATATCTATCCACTAAACCAAATGCTTCTGATATAAAAAGCTCCCTGTTAATTTAAAAAAAAAGTTGTGGTCTAATAATTCTTAATTTCTTTTTCTAGAGATGCAGAAGATAAATTAGAGCAAAGCCAGAAAATGGTGGTAGAAAAAGAACACATTTTGCAAAGGTTTAAAGAAGAATATAAAAAATTGAAAACTGATTTAATTGAACGAAGCAAGCAAGGGAAGAGGTGATTATATAATTAAAGACAAACCTTTTTTAGTAGAAAATATTTTACTAATGAGTGACAAAGAGTCCTGTGACACCTTATAGACTAACAGAAGTATTGGAGCATGCGTCTGACGAAGTGGGCATTCACCCACGAAAGCTCATGCTCCAATACTTCTGTTAGGGTACATCTATACCTCCCCCCCTCCCCGACTAGTGTAGCCCAGGCCTTAGTCTATAAGGTGCCACAGGACTCTGTCGCTTTTTACAGATCTAGACTAACATGGCTACCCTCTGATACTTTACTAATGAGTAAATACCTCTCTCCCATTATTGAATATTATTTTGTGCCACCGAGTTGTCTTTTCTTTATGGGTGTATTGTAAAAGAAAAAGGGAGGAAAATCAAGTTTGTTTAAAGGTGACCTACAAGATTTTTTTAAAAAAATGGAGCGGTGTCCTTTTTTGTTTATTTATTTATTTATTTATTTATTTTTGATCCTGGCAATATCCAATGATCCCTGTTCCAGTATCACACATTAAAATACACCTTTATTTATGTGATAGGTTTATTTAGCTAACCCTTTTTTTTTTTATCCCCTGTACATATTAAAAGAAAAAAAAAAAGACCCTGATGATGCAATGCTAAGGTTGAGATTTGAAATGCATGTTCAAAGTCTTTTTTTGCTACAATAATATTAACTCATCCACTGCACTTCTATGGAAGCATAAATGTAAAAACATAGGCCCTGAGCTTGCAGAGACTTATGCATCCGCTTAACTTTACACACTCAGAGTAGTCCCAGTGAAGTCATTAGGACTACTCACAATGTATAAAGTTATTTACATATGAAAATCTTTGCCAGATTGGGATCATAAAGAGTAATCAAAAATACCACTTAAATGTAATGTGACAGTCAGTCTTGCTGTGGGTATAATATCTTTTGAATTTCCAGAGGTTTGGAAGCATCTCTCAGGCTTAACAGTGCAGTAATAGTATTTTGGTTTTTAAAGACAAAAGAGAGGAAGAAATAAAACAGGTAGGCACTAATCTGTTTATATAATTGCATGTTCACAATCAAAGATGTATTTGAATTTAATGTAGTGGATGCCAGCTGGACCCAGGAGAGGGCTTGAGAGGGTTCAGCAGTGATTTTGCTTTTAAATTCATAGCCTTATTATTGCTTGGATGTAGCTTATTTTAAAAAAAAAAGGCACATCTGCAAATATTTTAAATATGAAGCAGTAATTCATATGATAAGTTAAAGTCCATTTTATTTAAAAAGTTGTATCTAAAACAACTGGAAAGCTGAAAGGCAGGTCAGTTACCCTATGTTATTAATTTATTCTTTGTATTTCAAGTTTGCGTAATTTGGGGAGATAGTTCTACCACTTTTGTACCCGTATTTAAAAATATGGCGCTTTTTTGTAGAGCTGAACAGCAAAGAAATGAGGCTCTGTTTAATGCTGAAGAGCTGACGAAAGCTTTTAAAAAATACAGAGAGAAAATAACTGAAAAACTTGAAAAGGTAAGACTTGATTATCTATAGTTTTTGGCCACACAATTAGGATTCAAAATGGAAACTGGAATCCATTTGGTCATATCTAAATGCTAAATGTCAACAGTCTTGGTTCTATTATATTAGAAATGGGGTAGAAGGAAGCTACTATACCTTATTTTTATTTATTCACACACTTCAGAAATGTTGGCTAAAACATATTTGTAGCCAGCCCCACATTTGAAGTGTTAGCAAAAGAAATTTTTATTTATTCTTTTTTAATCACAAAGGCTTCTTAAGGGAATTTGCTGCATCACTGTACCCATGGTAGAGACAGATGTTTAGAATAAATATTCTGTGCCATGGCTACAATGGGAAAACAACTCTCATAAGCAGCATTAACAGTATATAGGGAGGTCTGGGAAAAAATTAAGTATTGTTGCCCCTTTTGACCCAAGTGACTAGCAAAGTTTGGGGCCCTGTGGATTGTTCCAGTTGGGTGGAGAAATTGACAGTGGTCTGGTGCCTTTGATGTAATCTTGTTTATTTACAAAGAATGTCCAAAGTCCTGTTTCTCTCAACACCGGAGGAACAAAATAAATGAGATGGCTTCTTTGCTCATAGCACCAGACTCTTTCAGACAGCTTGTTCAGGCTGTCTGTGTCTGGATTTCTTTCTGCTTCTCTCTGTGGTCCTTCAGTTTGAACTGTGTGTGTGTGTGTGTCTCTCCCTTTCCCCCCCCCCCCCATCCCTTTAGTCAGAGACTATATGGAGCCCTTCATTCACTACGTTCGCTTACTGTGTGGGCTCACGTACCCCCTTTGTCTTAGTTGGAGCTCCATAGCTGTCTTTCACAGGTATTTTAAATGAGGGGTGGCTGTCACAACAATTCAGATGAGGTTTAACCCATCAACAACCGTATCCTACAAATATATTATCACACAAAACTCATCTTTTCTCCTTTTAGCTATAAAGTAAGTTCTGAACTCTTGCAATCAAGCTTTTTCTTTTTGTTTCAAGAATATGCCTTGAAAATTCTAAGTAGATCAGTGCAAAATTAGGATGAAGGGAAACCTAGGTTTGACTAATCCATCCCATGCCTCCAACAGGAATACCTACTTATTCATTATATAGCTTCCATAGATAGATTATATGTCCACGGTGTGTTTTAAATTAAAAAATAGTAAGTATGGCCATCTTGCTAGGTAGTCTATTCCTCATGTGGTATCTGCTAGCTGAAAACTCCTTTTATCTGACATGTAAACAAAACTATCTTATTCACGTTCCCTCCATTCTCGTAGCTGGGAGTACTAAATTAGGGTAGCCACTTTTTAGTCCCTCCTGGTTGTCTATAAATCATCCAGAGGAACCCATGCCGGGAGCAAAGTTGGGGAGAAATTGAGCAAGCACTATTTTTCCCAGTTTTATTTTTCACAGCTATTACGGTGTAAGTCTGTAACTTTTTCTCTTGGGTAGGAATCCATAAGTCTTCAGCAGTTGCCCCGGAAGGTGAATTTGCCACTGGTTAAGCTTCTTTGGTCATGGAGATTGGCAAGACTATACTGCATACCTTGACATCACTGCTGACCAAAAGTAGGCCCTAGAATACCAAAGAGATTCTTACTTTTTATTCTTGTTAACCAAAGAAAAAGCTTTTTCCCTGCTCTCCCATGCCTCAGAACAGCAGTCAGTATGGTTACCTTTCTGTGCACTATAAAGGAAGTGAGATAGTAGCAATCGTTGCAATATAAAGCAACTTAATTTGTTTATTCTTTGTCAGAATACTCTGACTATTTGCAGCTTAAATAATTGTTTTCATCATTATACAACAACGTGTTTTTAAGGTTCAAGCTGAAGAAGAAACTTTAGAGAAAAATCTAATTAATTGTGTAAAAGAAAAAGAAAAGTTGCATGAAAAATGTGTTGCCTATAGAAATGAACTTGAAATCACAAAGGAACAATTAAGGTAAAAGTCTTTCTTTCTTTCTTTCTTTTAATTTATATATCTTGTTCCTGGATTTCTCTATCTTCAGAATAGTTACAGTGGCATTGGCATATCTCTCAGCACCCTGACAACATTTCAGTCTTTAACTGGAGGGACCAATCCTAGGAATGAGAGGATAATTTAGTCTCCATGTTGTTTTAGTCCTTAGTTTCTCTGCTTTTGACACTGAGAAAAGGCTACTAAGAAGTTAGTCTCTTTTAGACTCCCAGATGAACGAAGATAATTAATCAATTATTGTGGGGGCTGCCTTTCTGCCAGTATATCTGATAGCCAAAGTCCTACCAAAACTCCAACCTCCTAGAGTTTTTGTTGAACTAGCCTTTAGATTGTATATATTTGTTTGTTTGTTTTTGTAGACAATTAAAGGATGAGAACCGTAGTGCAAAAGAAGAGATGAGGAGTCTAGAGGCAAAAAACACTGAAATTGTGTCACAGCTAACACAGTCTGAACAGAAGATCCTGAAGCTTGAGAGTGAACTTAATGACAAAGTAGTAGTACTTAAAGAGAAAAATGCCCTAGTAAGTGAAAATGCAGAGCTAAAAGCACTTATTGCACAGCAAAATGATCGCCTAAAATTATGTCATCAAGAAATTGAGGATTCAAGAGAAGAACTGAGCACCTTGGAAACTATTATCTCCCAGTTGTCACTAGGTACATCTAAAGAGGTACTATAATTGATACATCATTATAAATTTCGCACCTTGTAGAATCCTAACCAGGTACTATCTGGAAATGTTGCTTAGCTTATTAGTATACAGGTCTGTCTCATCTTATGCGGGGGTTCCGTTCCGCGGCTAGCAGGTAAAGCGAAAACCGCGTATAGCCAAAACCCCATTGAGTTCAATGGCAGGCGGAATTGCCCGCACTACAGGTACAGTATTAAAATTGTTATTTTTGTTTTTTGTTTTTGCCGACGGCGTAAAGCTGAAATCGCGCACTTTAAATGCGCGTAAGATGCGACAGACCTGTACTGGTTTTGCTGCTTCCAAAATGCACTGATGAAGATACAGTAATGTTTAATTAAACATTTTACTTCATTCAGATAAAGTGTGTGTGTGTGTGTGTGTGTGTGTGTGTGTGTGTGTGTGTGTGTGAACTCTCAAGAATGTAAAAACTGCAGTACTAGAGCAGTTTAATAAATGTTCATCTAATTTTGTACCCTGCCTCCCTCTGTGGCCTGCATTGATTCTTCAGAGGCAGACTTACTTTCCAAAACACCACTAAGTAATACAGTGTGATACTGGGGCTCCTGTCTGTTGAACAGCATGAGGTTTACCAGATGGTGAAGGTACAACCTCTGTAATAGTCTCAGCAGGGGGCATGGAGCAGTGAGAGCAAGGGAGAGACTTGCCGACAGAGCTTGTAGCTACTTTTTCTGAATGGCAAACTTCTGGTGTCTGTGCCTTGCCATGGCGGGACAGCTTGCATGCTCTAACAATCCTCCACATATGTGTCGGGGGGGGGGACTTTTTGTTCCTGGTAGGTTCAGCCAGGCTGGATTGGTCTGTAAGGGAGGAGCCAGACAAAACAGACACCCTGGTCCTCCGGGTTGGGTGTTAGGCACAGGGCTAACAACCCTGTCCCGCAAAAAACCAAAATGTTATGGAAACAGCAATGGAGAAATTGAATATTACTGTGTATGATGGCCTTCAGGAATCAATGACCCGTATGACTGCCGGTGGTGAAAGCCAAAAGGAAGCCACTGGCATGAAGACTGAAGTGCTGAACACCAAAACAAAAACCAAACTTGCTTTTTGGAACGTACAGACAATGTATGAAATAGGAAAGCTAGCTCAGGTCACCGCAGAGATGAGATGCTACAGCTTACGCATTTTGGGTGTCAGCGAGAGCAGACGGATGGGATCAGGAAGATTAACAACAGCTTCGGGAGAAACTTTGCTGTATTCTGGATGGGATAATGGACAACACCATGGGAGTGTAGCATTCCCTGCTTGAATGGAAGTCCATCAGCAGCAGACTTATGAGAGCCAGACCGAAAGGGAAACACAGTAATATATCCCTGATTCAGTGCTATGCTCCGACAAATGACAGTGATGAAGAAGTAAAGGACAAATTCTAACTTGCATTACAGGTGGAGTTAGAGAGAGTACCACGCCATGACCTAACTATCGTCAAGGGAGACCTGAATGCCGAGGTCAGTAAGGACAACACAAACAACGACAGAGCAATGGGAAGACATGGGTGTGACACCATGAATGAAAACGGAGAGAGGCTTGTTGATTTCTGTAATATGAATAACCTAGACATCAGCGAAACTCATTTCAACATCGTGAAATTCACAAGCTGACATGGTGTTCTCCAAATGGCAGAGATAAGAACCAGATTGACCATATAATGATAAATGGTGACACTTACTGACAGATGTGAAAGTGAGAAGGGGTGCAGATGTTGGCAGTGACCACCACCTTGTGATAGCCTCCATCAAGCAAAACTGAGAAGTGTGGGCCCACCAAACAAGGGACATAAATGTTATGACATTGACAAGTTAAAGTCCCCTGAAATGCAGAAAGCCTTCGTTCTGCAGTTAAACAACAGGTTTCAGGCACTTGCAGACCTTGATGAAAAGGAGGGGAATACAGATGAGACAATCAACAAGAAGTGGGATAAAGTAACAGCAATTTATAAACAGAGCAGTGAAGCCTGTCTAGGCTACAGGCAGAAGGAAGGAGTGGATTACACCCAACACGTGGAATGCCATAGAAACCAGACAAGCCCTGAAGAAAAAAGTTTTAGACACAAAATCCCAGAAGCTAAAGGACAAATACTGCGAACAGTATAGCAAGGCACACTGGGAGGTCAAATGCCTTGTGAGAGCGGACAAACGACATTATATTGATAATCTGGCAACACAAGCAGAAGATGCAGCTGCTTGTGGTGAACAAGGAACCGTCTATAAAATGTGGCTTATTAGTGGTAAATGGCAGACACCAACAAACACTCTCTTCAGGGACAAACAAGGCCACATACTAACACCGGAAAAAGGACTAGAAATGCACTGGATTGAGCATTTAAAAGAATTGCTGAACAGGGAGTCACCTAAAGAGGAAGCAAACATCCAAGAGGCAGAAGAAGATCTTGATATCAGCACAGACAGGAAGAGATCATTCAAGCCATCAAATCCTTGAAAAATGAGAGCGCTCCTGGCAAGGGTAACTTGAATGCAGAATTGTTCAAGGTAAATCCTGAGTTAGCAGCATCTATCCTGGCCCCTCTATTTACATCAGTCTGGGGAAGGGAAAAAGTGTCGGATGAGTGGACCCAATGGGGTTATAGTGAAGACACCAAAGAAAGGAACGATCAGTGATTGTAATAACTGGCATGGTATCGCATTTTTATCTGTGCCAAGCAAAGTATTGTGTAAGATCATAGTCCAGCATATATCAGAGGCAGTTGATAGCGTTCTCAGAAAAGAGCAAGCTAGTTTTCAGAAAGGGCATGGATGCACAGACCAGACCTTCACTCTATGAAAAATAATTGAACAATGCTTAGAATGGCAATGGCAACTCTGCATACATTTCATTGACTTTGAGAAGGCTTTCAATAGCATTCACAGGACCAGCCTATGGTGCATTCTGCAGGCATATGGAATCCCTCTCCATATAATCAACATAATTAAAAGCTTTTATTTCAATTTTACATGTGTTGATCACAGTGAGCTCAGTTTTGAAGTCAAAACAGGAGTATGTCAGGGGTGTGTCATGTCTGCAATCCTTCTCAACATTGTCGTCGACTGGGTAATGCAGCGTACAACAGAAGACGTGCCAAGAGGCATTAAATGGATACCCTTCTAATCCCTTGAAGACCTGGACTTCGCAGATGATTTCGCTCTCCGATCACATACCCAACACCACATACAAAAAAAACCAACTCGACTCAGCGCATTCAGACAGCAAATTGGACTGAAAATCAACCGCAATAAGACAGATATCATGACCTTTAATATTGCCTCACCATCACCAATATGGATAGAGAATTATGTTCTCACCAATTTAGAAACATTCACATACTTGGGCAGCACAATCAGCCAGGATGATGGAACAAGCCAGGACATCCGGAACAAAATCAGTAAAGCCAGGAACACCTTCAGGAGCTTAAATACAGTCTGGAAATCATCAAAATACAACACCAAAATGGAACTCAAGATTTATCAGAGCTGCGTACTTTCAACATTACTTTTATAGTGCAGAATGCTGGGGAATGAGACAGTATGACATGTCCAAAGTCCTCCATATCTTTTGGTCGTGAACAATCTCAAACCAGGATCTATTGACACAGTGCAGCCAAAAGGATCTGAGCACTATCATTTCCAGGAGGCGTTGGAGATGGATTGGCCATGTGTTGCAGATGGAAACTGATTCCATCACCAGAGTAGCAATAAGATGGACACCTGAAGGCAAGTGAAAACAATATGGTGAAGAGCCGTGGAAGCTGAGCTGAAAAACCTGGAGGCATAGCTGGTGAATCATTGAAAGACTTGCCAGAAACGCACAGGAGTGAAGGAGCTTTGTCGCTGCCCTAAACGCCAGAGGCATAATGGGAACATGATGATGATGATGATGAAACTTCATATGGGTCACCATATGAAATCCATCAAACTGGGACTTGCACTTGTGAACTTTATCGGGTCTGCAAGAAATTTGGTGGGTAGAGCATGGATGGGAAGGAGTCACAAAGAAATCCAAGATCAGGTGCTGTATGGAGGGTAACTTTGATGAGCAGAGCTAGGGAGGTGGACTGGGTAGCAGGGCCAGAGAGGCAGCATTGGAGAGCAGGAGTACATGGTGGATGTTGATCTCTCCATCTGCTTTTCGTTCCATAAATGTAGAGGGTTATTAGGAAAGTTGAATAACACTGTTTGTAATTTTTGACGCTCCAAAGTGGGCGCTCAGAAATGTTGTAATCATGCCAATTTCAAACTGAGTGGCTATTAATCGATTTCCCCGTCCCCCTTCCCCGCCCCCCCCAGGAAAGTTAGTAATTATTTTATCCAAATAATTTAATAGAAAATTCTGATGTCCTCTCAACTGTAATTGGAAAAATTGGGAGATGAAATTCACTAATTGAAATAAAGCAGAATTAACGTTCCTTTAAGTGAAAAGTTCAAAACAAGCTGGCAGGAGGGAGATCACTTGATCATTACCTGTTAGGTTCACTCCCTCTGGGGCACCTGGCATTGGCCACTGTCGGTAGACAGGATACTGGGCCAGATGGACCTTTGGTCTGACCCAGTACGGCTGTTCTTATGTTCTTAGGCTCAGCTTTGAAGTCATTACTAATACTTCATAAGTGTGATATTTAATGGCTAAAATTTTCAAATTTGAGTATCTAAATTTAAATTTAGGCATCTAAAAGTATATGACCTGAGTTTCAAGGTGCCCATTGCCCACAGCTCCATTTGATGGGACCTCTGATGCTTACCCCCTCCAAACGTCACTTTTTGTTTTGTTTTGTTAGGACTGTATATATAGGTACCCACTCAGGCCAGGATGTTCAAATCTTTGTGCCTTGAAAAACATTCTGCTTGTACAGTATGTGAATTTATCATAGAAAAAGTTGAAATTTTTATTAGTTCTTTTTTCTTAACTTGCAGTTTAAATTGCATCCCTCGAAACGTCAGATGGCCAGTTCCTCTGCAAAGGAAGCTATGTATGCCTCTTGTTGCGAATCAAACAAATCCCTGATTGCAGACTTAAGGTATATTTTTAAGGGTCCTGAACTCTAGCAAGACTTTAGAATAGTATTTAGGAGGTATTGCTACTGGCAAAGAGAGAAAAATGCTTTCCCATAACATTTTATATCTTTTTCTTTGTGCTAGAATCAAACTGGCAATGAAAGAAGCAGAAATTCAAAAGCTTCAGGCAAACCTAACTGTCAGTAAAGTAGCTCAACATCTTTCTAATGATTATGAGGGACAAGAAAGTGGCAGATTACATGGCCTAGAAACAGAACCTGTAAAATTGATTGGAAATCACACAGGTGAGCATGGTGAAAAATAGTGCACTTAACAACTATAAAATGCATTCTGACATAGTCATTTAAAAATGACTGCAGAATGCGAGTTAACATTTTTGTGGGTTTTAATTTTGCTATTTTAATATTTTCTGTAATAAGATAACAGATGTCCTTATGGAGAGCAAGGGTTTAGCTACTTTGGTATTTATCATAGTCTTGAGTCTCAATATGCATTTTAATTTTTGTGTACGCCTCTACCCCGATATAACGCGACCCGATATAAAACGAATTCGGATATAACGCGGTAAAGCAGGGGCAGGGTTGCGTGCTCCGGCGGGTCAGCATGTCTGGCTCCGACATGCTGTTCTGAGCGGCGTGTTAAGGGTGGGAGTCAGGCGGGTGGGCAAGCGGGGTGAGGAGGCGAATGGGGAGGTGAGCGGCAGGCAGGAGGGGGGTGAGGTGGCAGGCGGGCGGGAAGATGGCGAGCAGGAGAGCGGCTGTTGGGCGGATGTGGGGAGGCGCACTGGACAGATGGTGAGGAGATTAGCAGGGAGGTGAGCGGCGGGCGGGCAGGTAGGTGGGGTGAGGAGGCAAGTGGCAGCCGGGCAGGCAGGAGCGCTGGGCGGACGGTGAGGAGACTAGTGGGGAGGCTGATTTGTCCCGGGCCCCGCACCCCTCTAGAGACAGCTCCAACATGCTGCTCTGAGCGGCGTGTTAAGGGTGCTGGGCCAGGGCCGAGGGGTTGGATAAGGGGCAGAGGGGCTCGGGGTGTGGTCAGGGGACAAGGAGCCTTCCCTATCCGATATAACGCGGTTTCACCTATAATGTGGTAAGATTTTTTTGGCTCCCGAGGACCGTGTTATATCGGGGTAGAGGTGTGTGTATTTATTTATTTATTTATTTAAACACTCTCCATGGCTTCCCCTGGCCCCAGACTCAAAATATGTTAAAAATGGAAAACTTGGATTTCTCCCTTTTCTGGTATGATGAGGTCTCCAGTTATTCATTTTTTCCTTTGTTCTTTATCTACCGTCATTAGGGCACTTCAGCTCTAGAAAAGTAGGGTTGTAGATTTCTGATTGCCCTCAGTGCTGCACAATAAAGTGACTTCAGGTGTACGTTCATGGCAGTGCATTTTGTGCTTTTTCTCCCAAAGCCTAAATGTAACCTCCACAACAGGTATTGACTACTGAGGGCAACATTTTCTGAGGTTACTCTTGAGCCTGGGGCTCATGTGGTAGCTTAACATGCTGCTGTCAAACTATTCCTTGTCTTCATCAGGCATGTCTTTTTACAACTTGATTATGTCTAATTTTAATTGTCATCTATAAATAAAACTTTTTTTAAAAAAGAAGAGAGAAAATGTCAACAATTGGAGCTCATCAGTAAACAGTTTGAAAAGGAGCGTCGAAGATTCACAAGAGAGATAGAAGAGTTCCGTGCTAAGCTGTCAAAAGCAGAAGAGGAGAATTCTTCTTTAAAGACCAGCATGGCCCAGAGAGCCAGTCAGTTTCAACTTATACAGGAAGAACTACTGGAGAAGGCTGCAAAAACTACTAACTTAGAGCGAGAAGTAAGTTGTTAAGAGGGCTGAAAAGTGTATAATCTTTGATCACTGAATTAAATGCAACAGTTGACACAATTCCCCTTTTTCGAAAACTTTCCTTGGCATGTTTGTTTTCTGATGCAAGACTATTTGGAGAGAATATGAATTAGTAAATTTATTGGGGGTGCAGGAAAATCTGAAGGTAAAACTCAGACCTTAATATGTTAATAACATCAGAAATTCCAGATTATAAAGCTGCTGTGTAAATTGCTGCTATTTAGATTGTCAATGTGTGCCCTCTTGTGGTAGGGTGTGTGTGTGAGATTGAGATTGAGAGGGGGGGAAAAAAAACCCTACTAGTGCAGGGGCAGGCAAACTTTTTGGCCTGAGGGCCACATCGCGTTTCCAAAATTGTATGGAGGGCTGGTTGGGGAGGCTGTTCTGCCCCAAACAGCCAGGCGTGGCCTGGCCCCGCCCCCTATCCAACCCCTCCCCCCCCAGCTTACAGCCCCCCGGACTCCTGCCCCATCCACCCCCCTCTGCTCCCTG